TGTGTGTGTGCCACCAGGCACAAGAGGCACAGAGTGGCAAGTACCTGTCCATTGGCAGAGGCTTTCTAAGGAGGCTGCTGGTTACTGCCTGTAGATGGAAGCCAGTAAGAATGGAAACACCTTCCAGCAGGAAGCCTCTCACAGACCTTTCCTGGATTGTTGGAATCTGGATAAAAATGGTGCCTAAGATGTCCAGCACCTGGAGGGAAGATAACAAGAACAAGGGCCCATTTCTCATTCAGCCAACACAATCCAAACAAATTCCTCCCACAGTTTGTCATTTTGCTGCCATCTTAGATATTCCTTGCTTTAAGGGGCCAATGTCCAGACACTGTTGTCTCCAGCTGATCCTAAGAAGTGAGCACGTCTCTATGTCCCTAGTTGGGGTGAAAATGGACACTGTGACGTGTGCAGACACCAACCAGCCCACACACTCTCAGCCATTCCCCTGCCCATGTGCACACACCTACAATCTAATTGCATGTGCCGCCCAGGACCTATTTCTACCTGACATTAACCCGCATGCTCTCACAAACACTCCAACAAGTATCAATATCTTGGGGTGGTTTTAAGAAGCTAATTTTGGCCTTTTGTCTGTGTGGATGCTCAGCGCAGGACCAACAAACACCATCAACTTCAGAAACCCTGTGAGACTCCCTTGGGACCATGAGCAAGATGACTGTAACTGTAATTTTTCCAGGAGAGCCCAGCTCTGCTGGAGCTGAACATTAGAGTCCACACTCTGCATTGCTAACTACACCTCCCCATTCTTCACATGGCCAGGCCTGCAGGACAGTGGGTCCAGTTGTCCATACCCAGTCCCATCCAGAACAGGGAGAAGAGGGAGGCTGCAATATCTCTGGCATACATTCTTTCCTGCACCCTGTTCCCAACCCCGTGGAGAGGAGCAGGATGGAAGGAGCATTTCACATAGCCTCTACCAAGGCTGGGAAATGCTTGAGGACACAGAACTCTCTCTAGCTCTTGCCTCACCCTGGACCGCCTGCATGGTGTGGCACTGAGGGAAGCATGCAGCCATTCCTTATGCCTAAGCATAGTGTTTCAGCCCAGCCACAGCTGGGTGCCTCAGACTCCTTATTGCCCTCTCCTGTTATATTTGCCCCAGAGTCTATGTTTCCAAACCTTCCACGGCTGAAAGTTCTTATCAATAGCCTAGGTTACTGAATCCCCATCTTGTCTTCCTGTCCTGTTTCTCTTGGATGCAGCTGATCTGCTATTCCCGATCTCTGGCTAGTAAGGGAAATGGAACTTGCTTCATGTCCAGGGATCAACAGTAAGATCACTGTTCACTCCATATGAAAGCAGTGTTTGAAAAGCATAAAGAAAATGCAGAAAGTCTCCTCAGCTTCAATTTTACCTCATCCAGAAGGGCATTTCCATGATCCCTAAGGATTGTAATGAACCAAAGTCCTGCTGATTCCAACACCATTTTGGGCTGGCAGAGAGCATGCCATCCATTATGCTCCCCACAAAGTCAAGGGCCTGGATGTCTGCTAAGTTCCAGGCAGACCAAGCACATTCAAACCTCTTTGACCCCAGCTTCAGGGAGAGCAGCCTGTGACCTGAGCCCTGCAGTTGTCTCAGCTCCAGATCTGACAGGAAGAACTACAGAGAGTTAAGGAAGGAGCTCCTTATCAGGGCATCCCAGTTCCAAGGGCCAGGGCAGGAATCACTTACCTCAGATGCTTAATGGCAAGCATGGCCCAGAGGTGAACAGGAGAAGCCAGGGAATCCATTGGTTCCTCTTTCATGAAGTTCTAAAAGGCAGAATCAAAGACATGACACAGGGTAAATGGATGTGAAAAGCAGAGAGCCTCCCCCACACAAACCCACCAGATTGCCCTCCCAGGTGGGCTGTAAATAGAGCCAGGGATGTGCTGGCCACTGCCCCAGGATCCTGTTCAGGTCAATGGCATCAGTTCAGAGGGCACAGAGCTTTATCTCAGTCACTCACCAGGCACAGCTGGGCCCTCCAAGACCAACCCACAATGCAGCATTGCCTAGAAAGCTTCAAGTGGTACCAGGTTTCTGGGCCCCAAGCAGACTCTTCATGAGGCTGTAATAATCCCATCACAGCCAAGGGACAAAACAGCTGCTCCCAGCCCAGCAGGTCCTTTGCAGTTTGGTCCCCAGGGCTCTTCCCCACTCACCACCATGTACCCCAGGAGCTCCTTTTTGTAAGTGAACTGGAAGCTCCTGGAGTCATTAGCATCCTGGATGGCATGGCTGATTTTACTGAATGACCAGATCTGGGTCAGCTTTAAGTCTGGGTCCTGAATTCCATGGGGGAACAACACAGAGATGGGGATGAGGAACAGAGAATCAAGGTCCTGAATGTAAAGATCAGGGATGAAAATCAGCCTCATTTGAATCCTTGAGAGATGTCTACAGGCCCCAGAAAGCCCTGGTCCCACACCCATCTCAATCGAGGTGTATGGCAGCAGCAGGGACTCCTGCCTGGGGAAGGTCATTGTACCTCCTGCCATTAGGGTCTGGGAAGAGCATGAACAGAGGTGGGGTCATTGAACATTTACCTTATTGATGATATTGATTCCAAGCACCTGGGAAATGAAATGCAAAGCAACCGTCAGCACCTGGAATGGCTCCAGAATGCAGCCCACTTCCAGGTCCAAAAAAATGGCTGGTTTGGTGAGTGTGGAGCAACACAAAGAGATGTGAGAAATACACAATCTCTTTCTCTGGTTGAACAACAGATGTAGTTGCCTCAGTGCCTGAAAGGGGCTGGTTGACTGCTGGGCCATTAACCTGGGAACTGAAAAATCTGAGTAGTAGAAACTGTGCTCCCCTCTGTATCACTGGAGACCTGATGTCTGGATCATGTCTCTTGGGAGAGGGGTTACCAGGCAGGGTAGCCACTGCCAAGCTGTTCTTCTCAAGGGTTTATAGTGGGAGGAAGTGTGAGAAACCCCCCACCTACTTGAGGGTCCTTCCCCCACTCGTAACCTCATGTTTCTCTCTCAGGAATAGCTGATCTATGAAACCCTGTTCTAACACAGGACAAACAAGTCTCAATTTCAGAGAAGACTGAGCAGAGCAAAGAGAGAGAATGAGCAAGCCATCTCAGCACAGGGATTCCTTCCAGCTGGGATGTTGTATGTCATTCCTTAAATGATGGCAGCTTGCTTCATAACTCACGGCCAGCGTTGACCATAATCTATCTCCATTACCCTGTCACAACAGAGAATTGCCCATTGGAGAGGTACAGGGGATGAAGAGAAATGCATTGATAATACAAGGGCAACAACTGGTCACCTACTTGGCTCATGCCACTAATTGAGATATCCAGATTTTCTAGGATCTCCACATATGTGGCTCAGATATTCTGTTCCTTCTCAGTATCCTGACTGGAACAGCTTTTGGAATTTTGCACAAGAGACAGAGAGCTAGTTTCACGAGGTAGTCAAGAGGCACTGACTGGACACTCAGTATCTCTCTCTTTCGCAGCCGGCTTAAGCATTGCACAGTTACCACTGATTTTATGTTCTTCCCAAAGCACAAGTCACTGCAGCTGAGATAATAATAAAAAAAACCAAGCTGGTGAGGCAGGTTCCCAGTTCAGAAACATCTCAAACACTGTGCAATGACCCACTAGACACAAAGTGTTTCTGGGGCCTGGAAGTGGGTTATGTTTTGAAAACTGCCAAGTTCTTACTTCCCTCATCCTTCCAAGAGAATCCTTCAGATTCAACCCAGTGGACACAAATGTGCTGGCATCACACACCCACTCTGCTCTGTCTGCTCCAGGGGCCCAGACAGCTCAATCCTCTGTATCTCATCAGTGTGATTATATCAATGGGCCAAGCTATATCCTGGGCACCAAGATCCATCCTTGGGACTCTATTTCTACAAGAGAGCATTGTTGTTCTCAAGGAAGTTTCCCTGAAAGACTGTGTGGTCAGGTTTTCACACCTCAGTGCCTGAAGGGGCAATTCTCAGCCTCATCAGAAGATATACATAATCCAGTTCAGAGTCTGGTCTTGCTGATACCCTGGAAAAAATCCAGAGTAACTTCACTGACATCATGAGTGTTCCCTTAGATCTGTTCCAGTGGAAATGGTCTGACCCTGGTTCTAATGACTCAGCCTGGCTGCCCTGAGGCACCCCATGCTCCTGCTCAAGCCAATGTCAGGCTTCAGCCTGCTAGAACAGCAGCACCAAGTCTCCAACCTCAATTTCTCTTACCATTTGGCTGCTATGCAAACTGGACTGCTTAAAAATACGGGTCAATAAGTCCCAGGCCCAGTTATCCAGGCTCTGAACATTGAGCAGTGTCCTGATGAAATGGAGGATGGCCTTCTTCACCTGGAGGGGAGGAAAGGACAGACTGAAGTCAGGACTGTCCTTATGCACAAATGGTGGGGGGACCAGCCATGGCACAAACCCTCCCTCAAAACTTGGAAAGGATGACAGGGAGGGAGAAGGGTCTCCAGGCCTTCAATTTTATTTCTAGGTTTTATAAAGAGGCAAGAGAACAACGTGTCCTTGCTACTTAGTAGTGCCATATTGGCATCTGAGAAAAAGCAGATCCCCTCCCCACTGTCAATCTGATAACACTCCTCTAGATCCTGACTCTCCCCAGCTCTGGAAGCAGGGGGCAGACTTTCTGTACTGCCTTCCCTGAAGACGCTGATGGGGGGAAAGGTTTTCTCTACAAGAAAACCAAGATTCTTGGGTGGAAATTTTGTGTCAGGTCCATGTGCCATCCCCAGCACAGCCACTACTCACAAATCACCTCAGCTGAGTACTCTGATCAGCAAGCATGCACCTCATGGTCTTGACTAGATCACATTATTTCTTGCTCATCTTTGGCACTGGAAGGAGAAGGAGGGCACAATATTACTGTGTTCTGGGAGCTCACTCTCCACAGCAAGATGCACCCAGATTGCAAAAGACCCACTTGTGGCAACCTGCACAGCCTCCTATCTCTGCTTTGGAACCTGGGAAAGACTCAGGGGCCATCACAAAGGTCTTGTTAAACCTCTTGACTTCAGAGTGCTGCCAGGAAAGGTGTCAAAGCAGGATTTGGACCCAGCATTCCTGTGTCATACAGCAGGACTCAGCATGCTACTGGCCCTCTGTGACTGACCAGCAGAGATTGGAGGTCTGGCTCTAGCTCTACACAGCCAGGGCTCTTGAGTGCAGTTAGAGCAGGACAGGTTATTCATCCTGGACAGTCCTTATTCAGTTCCTGAGGGGTCAACCAAGACAGCAGTCAATATGTTTGCTCTGGTCATACTTACAGTCAGAAGCAATGATGCCACTTAAGATTGCAAGGGACACCACATGGCTTGCCTCCTTGTCGGTCTTAAGCCAGGAGCCCACAAGGGAAATAAATTGGTCTAGGCTGCAAGGAAAAGAGCACAACCTCAGTGACCTCAGCACTCCTCATTCTCATTCCCCCTTTCAGGTTTGGCACAGTTCAGGAAGGTTCGAAGGAAACCCACATGTCACTTGGAGTCTCCTTTCCTTACCAAGCAGAGGGAGACAGTAGAACACCTTGACCTGGTTCTGTGATCTCGGCAGTTGTGCAATATCACACACCTGTGGGAAGAAGGGAAGGGATTCTGCACAGTCCCATCTGGGTGCAGATGAAAGTGTGGAATGGATCCTGAACTCTCACCATCTATGAATTGAACCAGAGTCTTTTTGAGTCTCAAGAGATATCACTGCAATCACAGCAAGAGCCAAGAATTCAAAGGTCCAGACCATAAATAAGAAGTTATCCTGATTTCCAAGTCCCTTTAGCAACATAGCTGCTCTTGGCTGCACTCACACAATAGGGTTGATTGTTCTGGTCCTGACTTGCTATGACAAAGGGATTTGCATGGACCTCCCCAGCAGTTGAGCTGGACCAAGGGGAGACAAGGAGGCCACCATCTGTTTTCTTCTTCTTGGGCAAGCAGAGAGGTCACTAGCAGTGTGGGGCTTTGCACCACCATGAGCTGGGTCTATCTGGCTAATGGGATTTGGTCTGCTGGGCCTCAGGATGAGTGGTACAGGATTGACCTCCCCTTACTTGGGTGTGCAGGGCAAAGCAGATGCTCTTGAGTTTCCCACTGGCAAGAGGGACTTGAAAATCATAGGCTACCTCCAAGATCTGTCTCAGACTCTGCAACAGAAGTTGAAAGTCAAAGGGAGGGTTAGAGAGGAGAACTATGGAGTGAGCAAGAGCAAAAAATTAGAGAAAAAAATACCTCACTTCCCCATGCTTAGTGCTTTACTGCTTTAGTGCTGGAAGTTTCCATTTCTGCAGCTCTGACCACACCAAATTGTGCTGTTTGAGCCCCTACCAAGGACCCTTAATACATCCCACTTAGATTACTACTTTCTGGGATTTATAGTCTTTCCAAAGGATGCCAGGTGGAGAGTGGGTCCCACAGCCCAAGGGTGTCACAAGCCCCAAAAGTGACGGCAGAGTCAGGACCAGCTAGCATCTGCCCACACAGCCCCAGGGACACAGGACAAAGGAGCACAGAGCTGAAGTAGGATTCTCCCCTTGGGTAAACCTGTGCCCAGGTGCAAACAAAGGCAGAGCACAGACTGTCTCACCCAGGAGAGACACACTCCATAGGCAGTGGGGTGGTAGCCATCCACTTCTATAACTCATAGAAGGAAGCCCCAAATCTCCATGGTTTAAACTGCTAGGCCCTGACCATAATCCCTGAACTCCAAAAGAGACGACCTCTGATCCCACTTACCCTGTGGAGCTTTGAGAGGGCAAGCTCAGAAGGAGCAGAGTGAAACTCAGCTGGAAGGAGCAGTCCAGTAGGTCATTTCTTTTGTCTCCCCTTATCAGACTTCCCAGAAAATAGAATTGGCATTCCCAGCACAGCCATGATCTACAGACCCGGGTGCTGTGAGTTTAGCCCCCAGTGGTAGGTGAGGCCAATCCATCAAGGAGTCTTGAACTGCACCAGGAAAGCCCCAAGAGAGCTACGGAGTTCCTAGGGCAAGTTGTACATGCACACACATGTATCAGTATGCACACCCATGCATACACAAAAGGGCCAATCCTGGATTCCCAGGCAGCATCTCACCATGGTGACATGAAAAATGTTGACCCCTCGTATTGCTGCAGGAGACAGGGGAGCCTCTCAAAAACAATATCACGATGCCTTTCATGGTGGAGAAGGAGACCCATTGCACATCCCAGTGCCTTGACTGAAGCCTGCTGCAGCTGCAGAGAGGGAGGCAGGACTGAGGCCCTCTGACAGACTTTCTGGGAGGTGGTCCATATCAGGAAGAGACACAGCTTTTCTTCTTCTCAGGTCAGCAGCATCCTTTGTCCATCATTGGACCAGCCCTGTCTGCATGGCTCCCACCTATGGCAGCTGTAAGGGGCCGTGGGATATGGACCTAGGACTGGCTCATGAATCACACCTCCCCACCGTGCTGATGTGCCCAAATTCATGTACAGAGAGAGCAAACTCCTCCTTGCTGCCATCCCCCTGGGCATCGAAGGAGTCATGCCTGGAAGGAGCTGCCCCGTATCCCAGTGATCACTGGCACACATTAATGCACACAACTGCACATTGCCTGTGGGCAGAGAAGATTCTCAGGCACGTGATATGAGCCCCTAAGACTGGATCTTCCCTACCAAGACTGCACAGACAGGCAGACATAGTGACATGAGACAGCTGTGCTACAGAGCTAAAAAGACAGCAGCTCTCACCTCCGGGTCCTTCCAGCTCAGCCAGATGCTGCTCATGAGGTTAAAGAAAGGGAGCACATGGAAACAGTAGTCGTCTTCCCAGCAGTTGGGGAATGGGCTTTCATCCCTGACCTGGAATTTCATGTTAACTTCCTGGGCAAAGCCTCTCACAACTGCAGAGGGAGAGAAAAGACAAGATGTTTGCACAGGAACATCCAAGTGAGGAGGTCCTGCTGCAGCAGCAGGACATGAAGGCCTGGTGGTCATGATAATGTCCTAGCAGCCCCCATGCTGCTCAGAGCAGATGGAGAATTCGGGACAGGTGGAGCAGGGGCTACAACTAGCATTCAATCTGCTCCATTTGCCCCAGAGCCTACAGGCAGCTCCAGCCTTTTTGATGGCTTCTGGGAAATACTCTGTAACAGTAATAAAGGGCCCAATCCTGCTCACTGCTCAGAGCCTCCAGCCAGCCCAGGAAGGGAAGGTTCTCCACTCATGGTTGGATCAGGCCCAGGAAGCGCAGGGGAGGCCCCACTTACCAGTGTGGTACACTCCAGTGGGGCCCAGGCTCTGTGTTAGGCCTTGTGTGCCCACTGGGGGCACCTGAAGCAGGGGTTGGAACTCACCTCCACACAGCGCCTGCTTCATCTGGTTGGTCTCCACCAGCCTCAACATAAAACACAATTAGCTGAGCGTCAGCACAAGGAAGGGCTCAGACCTCAGTGCTGCAGAAGGAGGATATATTGTGCAGTTAGTGACATTCCTGTCCACCTTCATCCCTCACTCTCAGGAACACGAGAGGTGAGCAGCACATAGGGGCTTTGAAGATGTCAGAGAAACCCCACAGTGACCTCCCCTATGTAGGGCAATCCTCTGTCTTCTGCCCGTCCCATGCCCAGATGCATGGGAGGAGGAGGGAGTGGAGGGACATGGGGTGGGGCAGGGCTCCTGCCCAATTGATCTCCACTCCTTCCTGTCCTGAAGGCACTTCCAGCTGTTACAGAAGTTAGTGCTGACATCTTAGAGCCAGGAGCTAGACACTTTGGGACCCAAATCCAGTTCAGTTGTGATGGCTCCATTGGACAGAGTAGTATTTATCCCCTCCCTCCACAGTCCCTGATCAGAGCCTGGAAGCAAGAGAAGCAATGCTGTACCATAGGCTGTGGCCAGGTTGCCCAGTGTACTCAAGAAGAAAATTGGAGGGAGCTCCATGATGCCCATGTGACTCCGCAACTCATACATCATCCAATTGTAAAATGTGTCAGCAAGTGCCATGAGGGTTTTTCCTGAAGTTCAGCATTTTCCTGCTAGAATAAAAAAAGAAAACTGGAGCAGATGCCTGACGCACAGTTTATACAGTGGTAAGTCAAGCTGGGGATAAAGTTGCCTCCCCTGAAAGGGAAGGAGAATAATGCATTTGGCTTAGCTGGTGGCTCAGTGTTTGGCCACTCCCTTAAGTCCACTGCATCCTTAGGTAACCTTTGACTCCAAGCAAAATGGCTTTCCCACCACCTACGAGCCACACACTGTAATAGTTTTTCCTGAATTAATGAAGTCCCCTAATAATTCCTTGCTTGAGCTCCCTAGCTCATAAATGCCAACTGAAACACTTGGATAAACAATATTTCAGCTCTGGTTGGTTGGCCAACTGCAGAATTCACCTGAACTGTAGGACAGCTTCAGCATGGACCAGGAAACTTCTTGGACAATGCTGTCACCAGAAAAGTACCTATGCACTCTGGTCTTTTCTCAGCAGAGGAGCCGCCCCATGTTTCAGAGGAGCTCAACACTGGGTTGGATCATGTCTGTGCTCTCCAGAAACATCTGGAGGAGATCTGCCTTGAACAAGGCTGAAGCCTCTAGCTAGGGTCCATGCAGGAGATACTCCATAGACTCAAGCTACATTGGACCAAACAAGCTAGGCATAGACAAAGGTTTTTTTGAGGAGAAACTGGGTAGAGATCACTCACCTGGGTCTTCCTCATGTCTTTGGAGGCCAAATTGATGATCCTCCTTACAAGGCTCCTATCCAGGCCCTTTGTGTCCCCCTGAAAGACTTTCTCCAGGCTGGAGTAAATGATTTTCCAGGTTCACAAGGCTGCTGGGCAACTATATTTCATATCTCAATGCTGTGAGATACTTGGAGAAAGACACTGAAGAGGCTCACGGCATTATCCACAGGGTGGGGGCTTGTTTGAACGTGGCTTATACCATATCTACCCTCCACTGGGGAAGGGGAGATGATGCCCATGTAAGCGTGCCCTGATATCACAGTGACATCACAATATGACAAGGGCATGTTGTATTGTGACCTTTAATAGGAGAGGAGAAAGGGAAAAGACACAGCAGATGGCCAAGTTTTAGTTGGGGTCCTACCCTGCACAGCCGCTCTAAATGTTTAGAGCAGCCACGTGATACAGAGCCATTGCCCTCTCCACATCTGCCTGGCCAAACCCTGGCCAAGATTGCTGTGAGTTTGGTCCATCAGGCATCTCTCTGCAGAGGCATCACTGGTGGAAAAACCATCAATGGAGGAAAAGGATTCTGTTGATTTGCATGTGAGAAATCACATTGGTTTCATTCATCACCACCCACTAGTAGCTCTGTTGGAGCCAAACCCTGTGGTCTGGCTACAACAGAAAGGTTTCCTAGCACAGCAAGAATGGGAGAGCTCTCTAGGCCACCCTCCTGGGCTGAGGCAGCTGGTACTGCCAAAGAGGCACTTTCCTTAGTGCAATTTCATTCGGCCAAAAAGCCCTTCTTTGTCAAGATGGAGATGATGCTCTGGTGTTGGCCAGCATCAGAAGGTAAAAATCTATAATCATCAGTCCGGTGCAGAATGGCCACAGCTGTACCAGCCAAAGGGGTGAGAGTGTACCTGGTCACAGAGAAGAAGCTACGTCTTCCCCTTTCTCCTGCTCTGCTATAAGATTTGCTTGCAAAATAGCCCAGCCAGATAGAAGGGGAGATTACTGTGATATTTGTTTATGGGAAAATAAGGGAAAGTCATGCAGACAATAACAATTCTTTCCTCCTTTACAATTAGTTGGAAAGTTGGGATCACACACCCAAAACAATGGTTTAGGGCCAAAGTTTTTGAAAGCTAGACTCGCTATACACATACCGGGGTGGGGAGGGGCTGTTTAAATTAGAGTGGTTCCCCAATGGCCACTCTAATTAAAATGGCTCACCATCACATGTATTAAGCACCACACATTTTAAAATGGCCATTGAAGCACTTTAACTAAAGCTTATTCAATGAGCTTTAGCTAAAGCACCCACACAGCCATTTAAAACGTGAGGGAAGGAGGATGGGGGGGGGGGGGTTCCTTACACATGACAGTGTAATACTGGAGCATTTTACTTAGAATGTGGAGCAGATTTAATTCCTTGAGCCTGCTTCAATGTGTTCTAATTAGAACATGAATCAGCATCTCTATAGGC